AAGTCATATTTACGCAAAGGAATACTATACAACAACGAAAATGAGCAAACACAAGTATGAACTGTTGTTGTTTCTAGGTGCCAATGAATTACTTCTGACTCATAGGGACCCTATGGGACAGGGTAGGACTGTTCCTTATAGTTTTTGGGTAATCTTTACAGAAGTAGATCACCAAGTCTTTCTTCTGTGGAGTCACTGAGTGGATTTAAACAGTCAACCTTTCAGTTAGCAGCCAAGTGCTTCACTAATATGATTGTCCCACTAATCAAAAAAACCAAACTCACTGCCATTGAGTCAATGCCGACTCATAGCAACCTTCTTTGGGTTTCCAAGGTGGTAAATCTGTGGAGGTAGTGTGCCTCATCTTTTTTTCATGGAGCAGCTTGAACTGACAACCTATTGGCTAGCAGTCAAAATGCTCTAAGCACTATAGCACCAGAGCTCCTACTAGAGCTCCTTAATTATATACCATAACATGGGTAAAACACCTACATTTGATTGTGAGAAATAGAAGGCAGACACAAAAGAAAATATACCGTATATTTTTTTATTAATATGAAGTTCAAAAGTAAGAAAAGCTATAGTGTTGAGGAATGAAATCATCAGTGGTAAAATTATGTAAAGATAACAAAGAGTGAGCCATATCATACAAGTTCAGGTAGTGGTTGTCTTGAGAAGAGAAAGAAGGGCAGTGATTGGCGGGAATGCAGGCAATGTTTTATTCCTTCATCTTGGTGATGGTTGTGGGTGTAAGAGATAATTGTTTGAGCTGTACCCTTTTATTTTTGTGCGTTATTCTATATATTAAATCTATTTGAGAATAAAACTTTAAGAAATTGGAGTTCTCACAGATTGCTGGTGGAAATGTAAAATGGTGCAGCCACTGTGGAAAACAGTTTTGGGGTTTCTTGAAAAATTAAGGTTAGAATTACTGCAAGATCCAGCAACTTCACTTCCAGGTGTTTGCTCCAAAGAATTGAAAGCAGTGACTCAAAGAGATAACTGTATGTGAATGTTCGTAGCAGCACTATTCACAGTCACCAAAAGATGGGATTAACTCAAGTGCCCATCAGCAGATGAATGGATAAACAAAATGTGGTATTTATACACAATGAATTATCATTCAGTGACAAAGAAGAATAAAGCTGTGATGTGTGCTACCACATGGATGAACCTTGAAGACATTATGCTGAATGAAATAAACCAGACACAAAAGGACAGTTGTTGCATGAGTCCACTTATATGAGATATCTAGAGGGGGCAAATTCATAGAGACAGCAAGTAGATTAGAGGTTACCAGGAGCTCAGGGGAGAAGGCACTAGGGTTACTGCTTAATGGGTATAGAGCTTCTATTTAGGGTGATAAAAAGTTTTTGGAAATAAATAATGGTGATCACTGCACAATCTTGTGAATGTAATTAATGTCACTGAATTATAAACATAAAAATGGTTAAGATGGAAAAAACAATATAGACCAAAATAAATGGACATTTTGCAAGAATACATACAAATGAAAAGAAACACATGATATTGTTTGTGTGGGGACCTGCACTGGAGTGAAGAGTAGACACAAACAAACAAGAGAGGAAACTTTCAACAGATCAGTGATATATAAATCCCAGGAAATGGTATTATGAGTACCTCAACCTGTGACCCTGAGGGCCAGAATGGAACAAAAATTAAAAGTGAAATTAACAATTAGTTTGGAGTATGTGGACATGGAACAAAATTCAAACGCCAAAACAGTGTTAAAGTGGAAATGAAATCTTGTTTCCACTTGTGACCACTAGAGCTCCATATCCTCCACCTAAGGACATCCCACTTTCCCCACTTTCTTGTGTGTCTGCCACTGAGAACTTTTTAGTAGAGTTAAATGGTTTAAAACAGCAAGTTCAGAACAGCGTAGTGTTGTAGAAATGTGGACACAGAAAAGAGCCAGGGAGACTGGCTAGAGATAGAGGGCCATTGCAGGCATAGGGCCTTACCAAGGGTGTGGTGTGTGCAATGACAGTGGTGGAGATAGTTTGGAAGTTTTACAGGAACAAAGAGGAGACACAAATAACACCTCCGTGAGTCAGCAAGATGGCTCCTCAGAGTGTCCTCATAGACCCTCATGCTGATCTTCAGGCTTCTATTTCTTGCACATGGACCAACCCTTCTGTAGCAGTTAGGGACATGTCAGAGCCTGGACAGCGCATGATGCTGACATGAACTTATTTGCATAGAGGAAGGAGGAAAGATTGAAGACATCAAAGGAAGGTACCAAAAAACAAAAAACAAAAAACCCCAAAACAGAAAGTCATAGGCATGGGGCTGGAGGGAGAGTTGCTCAATCTCTTGTCTGCAGGCTTATCCCATGGGGTTCCACACCTTCTACTTTACATAATGCTGTTCCTAGTGGAGCCCAGGCCCCCTCGTGGAGCTGTAAGATGAAGGTCAGGAGTAGGGGCCTTAGAATGAGGTCCCATAGATTCTGGTGCTATGTTCCTTCCCACTTGCTGTGTGACTCTGTTCGATCCCTTATCCTTTGTGTTCCCTGGTCTGTCATCTATGAGTGATGACACCAGTTTCCTTCCCAGGACTTCTGGAAGGGTCTCATATAAGGATGACAATGAAATGACCCTGCTTTTGTCCTGGAGTTTGAATACCCAGAAGGCAGGCCTTATGTGACCCTGGAGGCTTGGTTGAGGGTGAAGAGGAAGGTTTGGAATCAGGCTGATCCAGGTACACATCTCGACTGTTCCCTCTACTAGCTGTGGAACCTTGTGAAGTGTCCTTAACATGTTGATACCTCAATGTCCCCTTCCTACAATGGGATGATAGTGCTGACTTCCAAGGGTGGTGGTGAGGGTACACAACACAGTGCATATGCAGTGGGTAAGTGGATGCCTGGTACAGTGTAAGAACTCCATTGGCAGTGGTATTGGGGTTATAAGCCACCAATCTAGGCATAATCAAGGACAGAGACATGCTGCAGTGCAGGATTCTAACATTTATTCCTTTTAGCTTTCAGAAATCAGATTCTATCTACTGCTTCCGTGTTCTATTACGACACAGACCACTCAACCTCAGCTCTAGTTTGGGTCTGCGGGAGGAGGAGGCTCTAGGTGAGGTCAGCTAGGAAGTGCACTCACTGGTGGCCCTGGATGCTGGTGGGACATGCTGGTTGCATGGCCTGAGGTGTGTCCACCCACCTGCATGGGCAGGGCTACAGGAAGCAGACACCACACATGGCTCCAGGGCTCCCTCCCTGCCCTGCAGACCCAGGCTGAGCCATATAAAGGGCCTGCTCTATGCCCAGATGCACAGTCTCCCCCATCCTCTCTTCTGTGATCATCCTCGGCTCTGGTAAGTCTGCATCTGTCTCTGTGCTTTCCCAGGAGCTGTGCCAGGTGCCTCTTGCCCTGCTGCCACCAGGAGTAGGGAGAGGTGCAGTGGGTGAGGGGTTGGGATCCTGATTTCTAGTCCTGGCTCTGCCACTATGGGACTGTGTAACTTCAACCCAAGGCTGAAGATTCTCATCTGTTGCCTTCTCTCTTTTCTGGCTCTGTCACTTGGTGTTTCTCTGAGAACTCTTTGGGGAAATACCTTGGGTAGGATCTGAGGACAGGACCCTCCCTGTCTTCCTTGCATTCTTTCCTCCTTGGAGTCACCTGATGGTCAACCTCAGGGTTCATGAAGACCCACTGCACATCCCACCTCCCAGGGAGAATGAGGGTTAAGGGTCACCTGTCATGGTTTCAAAGACTGTCCCAAACCTAGAATTGAACCTCAAATTCACTATTGCCCTGGTGAGATGACCTGTCTCTCCCTGGCTAAGATACTGATCATCAAAGTTCTCTCACTCCCAATTTCACCTCAGGGAATCCCAAGTCACTGTTGTGGCATAGAGCTCAGCCTCTGGTTTGGCCCAAACTAACACATGACCCAGGTGGTCTTATGTAATTGCTAGCAAAGACCTTTCTCCCACTTGGGAAGTTGATAGTTGTTTATTATTAGCTGTTTGCATTAATGGAGCAAAAATGTTTTGTTGTATGTTCTGGGACAGCCTGGGATGGAACAACTCCATTTTTGAATTTCTCTGAGTTCAGGTTCAGTCCAGTCCAGAGCTCTAATGGTTGGAGAGAGAACCTGAATTCTTCTCTCTTTTTAAACATTCTGAAGCCCTGATGATCTGATGGAAGAGAGGAGCACAGGGCAGATAATTCCTTATAACAGAAGATCCAAAGGACCTTCACCCTCAACCCATCCGAAAGCCTAAGAACTGAGGCAGTGATTTATGTTCCTTTGAAATCTCTCTCTCTCTTTTTCTCAGCTTCCCCTTACCCCCTTTGTCCTACCCCTGGTAACCACTCATTTGAAATTTTGAAGATGACTGTGACTGTAGTCTTTTTTTCTCAATTTTGGGATGGTTCAGAAAGACCCCCATCCACTCACATAGGCTATTTCTCTGCTCACACTCAAAGCCAGGGACTTCCAGACCCCATGTCATGGAGGGCTTGTAACATACTCCTGGGAACAGAGGGTCCTGCTCTTGAGAATGTCAAGACAGTCAGCAACCAGATTGCCAATGACACTGTTCTGCCCTGTGACTCTAACACAGATTTTAAAGTTGAAGGAGATGAGTTTGGTGCTGTTTGAAGTGTGGGGTCCTTCAAATGTTTATGTGCATGGGATCCTGCTGCAAGGTCCATGTTTTCCATGTGGTTTGACTCCTACTCTCGCTGTTCCACCTCCCTGTGGGTCTGACCCCAGATGGACTTCTGCTGTCTTCCTGGAGCTCCTCTTGCCCCCTGGCCTGTGTGTCCTTGTTCCCAACACCTAGTCTTCTTCCCTTTTTGAGGCAAGTCATCCCCTTCCCAGGAAAGTATAAGTTCTTTAGCTCCCCCTAAACCCTGCCCTCACTTGCTCCTTAGTTCCTACCTCATCATCTAACTTAGAGACCATTTCTCTGGGAAAGGAAATGAAAGTCAATGTCTTTCTGTCCTTTAGCCTTTTTGAAAGCAAAGATGAGCATCACTCAAGCTGAGAAGACCATGATTGACATGATCTTACTTTTTTATAAATATACTGGGAATGATGACAAGATTGACAAGCCTGGCCTGCTGAAGATGATGAAGGAGAATTTCCCCAACTTCCTCAGTGCCTGTGTAAGTGGTGTCTGGATTGTCAGTGTTGAGTAGGCCCCTGGCATGGCTGAGGACACATTATACTGTGTGACCTTGGACAAGTCACTGTCATTCTCTGATCCTCAGTTTTCACACCTGCAAAAAGAAGAAAATAGAACTTTATTTCCTGGATTATTATGAGGATGTAAAGAGATGAAATGTGTGAAAATACTGAAAATTGTTGCGACAATAAAAACAGCTATTAGCAGATGATCAACATGCTGCTTCTTGAGGGCAGTGAGCAGGTCCCCTCCCCTAGTCACTGATGCCTCTTCCATGAGACTCAGTCCCATGTGTTCAGGCCCACCTCTCGATGCCTCCTATCCAAGTCCCTGAGATTAGAAGGAAAGCAATAGAAAGGCCATCAATAATAGCAATTAAAATCCCTGTTTACAATTGACAAAGCTCATTCACAAACCTGACTTAATTTGAGTGCTAGAATACATTGAACTGAGTAACCCAAAGAATTTATGATTAGGTAATATTGTTGTGAGACAACCAAGAATAGGAACTCAGGACAGATGAGTTTTAGTGGGGAAAAAACAGGAAAGGAGTGTTAGAGATGAAGAAAACAAGGCATTAGGATCCATTTATAATTACTAGTGGAAGAACAGAGGTAGTTGATACCCTCAAGAGGAGGGTGGACGCCTGGAGTTTGAGGCTTCTTCCCACCCTGCACTCAGTCCTCAAGGCATCTCCAGGTTACCTACTACAGCATCCTGACGTTGTTCATCCATGCTGATTTTCACCTAAGCCATCACCCTCAGAGAACTTCAAGCGTGAAGCTAATGTTCCCCCCTCAACTGTCATGCCTTCTGTGTGTCCAATGGCTCCTCTCCCTGCCTGATTCTGCCCTCTTCTCCTTTCCTAGAACAAAATGTGTCTGTGACTGAACTTTTCTGGTTTGTGTTTCCTCCCCACAGGAGAAAAGGGGCACAAATTACTTGGCCAACATCTTTGAGAAAAAGGACAAGAATCATGATAAGAAGATTGAGTTTTCTGAGTTTCTGTCCATTCTGGGAGAAATAGCTACAGACTACCACAAACAGAGCCATGGTGCAGAACCCTGTTCTGGGGAAAGCCAGTGAGCTCAGCCCAGCCCAGAAGTCTCTGGAGACCCCAACAAAAATAAACATCTCCTTCCATTTTATTTTTGCTTTATCCTTCCTTTCCTCTCATTGTATATGTTGTCAAAAGAGTCAATTCATTTTTACCCTTGTTGTAGACTTTCCACTACATGATTTCACCAGGAATATGCTAGCTGTGTCCCCTTGCTGTGGCCACCAGCATAACCTTGTGGCCTCTCTCAGCGGGACCTCTGTCTACCTATTCCCCTCACTTCCCTGATGAACCTACCATGCCATGGAGGCCAGTGCAAAGCCTTTCTTTTGCTCAGTCACAGTGATGCCTCTTCTTCCAGGCCTGGATCAGGATCTGGTCAGGAGACAGTGCAGCGAGAAGGAGCAGATGTGTCCACACTTGTGCTCAGGCCTTCTCACTCCTGTTCAGCTCATCCTCTGGGTCGTGGGAGACTGGCCCCACCTCAGAGCTTTCTCAGAGGGCACTGGGACCACAGGAGCACTAGTTGCTGTGATGGGGAGGAGCAGCAGTGTCCTGAGGACTGGATACCCCTCATGTCCTTGTCTCCTGGACCTGTGTCCTTGTCCCTGTGGTGTGTGCTTTTGTGTACATGTCTGTGCCAGTGTCCCTGTGAAAGTGAGATATAAGGTCACCATGTCTACTGAGCTTATCCTCAATGGTGATTTGTTAAATGCCAGGAACAGAGTATCTGGGGACACCAAGAGAGTGCTGAATTTTCCAGGTTTAGAGGCACTGAATGCTGGTCTGGAGTTTTAATGCACAGTGGTTAAGTGCTCAGCTGAGAAGTTAGCAGTTCAAATCCACCAGCTTCTTCGTAAGGGAAAAGACCTGGCTATCCCTGCCTGTAAAGATGACTATCTAGGAAACCCTATGGAGTAGATCTACTCTGTTCTATAGGGTCACTGTGAGTCAGAATAGAGTCAAAGGCACAGGAAAACAACAACAACCATGCCTATCTGGGGCCCAGAGAACTTATAGCAAACAAGACAGAGGCAGCATCATGGAGAGCTCACTAAGCCTGAGAGGGAGAGCTTTTGTTGAGTGTTGTGAAGGAGTTGCAGCCACTTACCTGCCAGGTAAGGGCGGTACATCTTTCAGTTTGTTGTACTGTGGTGGCTTGCATGTTTCTGTGAGGCTGGAAGCTGTACCACTGTTATTTCAAATACCAGCAGGGTCACCCATGGTGGGCAGGTTTCATTGGAGCCTCCAGACTAAGACAGACTGGAAAGAAGGAAGGGGCCATTCACTTCTCAAAGAATTGGCCAGTGAAAACCTTACGAATACCAGTGAAACACTGTCTGATATATTACTGGAAAACTTTATGAATAGCAGTGAAACATTGATACAGTGCCGGAAGATGAGCCTCTCAGGTTGGAAGTCACTCAAAATATGACTGGGGAAGAGCTGCCTCCTCAAAGCAGGATTGACCTTAATGATATGGATGTAGTAAAGATTTCAGGACCTTCATTTGCTGATGGGGCACAACTCAAAATGGGAAGAAATATCTGCAAACATCCATTAATAATCGGAACATGGAATGCACGAAGTATGAATCTTGGAAAACTGGAAGCTTTCAAAAATGAAAGGAACACATTAAGATTGATATCCAAGGCACTAGTGTGGAGAAATGGACCAATACTGGGCATTTTGAGGAGCTCTGGTAGCATAGTGGCTAAGACACTTGCCTGCTAACCAGACGGCTGGCGGTTCAAACCCACCAGCCACTCCTCGGAAGGAAGGTTGGGCAATCCTACTTCCGTAGTGATACTGCCTCGGAAACCCAAGGAGGGGTCGCTATGAGTCGGGGCCGACTTGACGGCACATAACAACAAACAACAACAACATCATTTACTCTACTGTGCTGGGAATGACATGTTGAAGAGGAATGGCACAGAATTCATCGTCAAAAAGAATGTTTCAAGATCTATCCTGAAGTACAGTACTGTCAGTGATAGGATAATATCCATACACCTAAAGGAAGACCAATTAATACTATTATTATTCAAATTATTCCCCTATCACTAAAGCCAAAGATGAGGAAATTAAAGATTTCAATCAGTTCTGCAGTCTGAAATTGCCCAAACATGGAATTGAGATGTATTGATTATTACTGGTGATCGGAATGCAAAGCTTGGAAACAAGAAAGAACAACTGGTTGTTGGAAAATATGGCCTTGGTGACAGAAATGATAGATAACATGATAGAATATTGCAAGACCAGTGACTACATCTGAGGAACGAGGTAATGGAGAAGCTCAATATCTTTAGCCAAAAGAAGACCAGGCTTCCAAGCTCACCAAGCTATTCCAAGCTCACCATGGAACAGGCTAGCAATTGCTCATATGCAAGTTCATGTTGAAGCTGAAGACAATTACAACAAGTTCATGAGAGCCAAAATATTACTTTGATTATATCCCACCTGAATTTAGAGACCATCTGAAGAGTAGATTTGGGGCATTGTATATCAATGACCGAAAACCAGATGAGTTGTGGGATGATATCAAGAACATCATCTATGAAGAAAGTAAAAGGTCATTAAAAGCCAGGAAAGGAAGAAAAGACCAAAATGGATGTCAGAAGAGATTCTGAAACTTGCTCTTGAACAGAGAGTAGCTAAAGCAAATGGAAGAGATGACAAAATAAAAGAGCCGAACAGAAAAATTATTTTAATGAAATGTGCAAAGACCTTGAGTTAGGAAACCAAAAAGGAAGAACACACTCAGCATTTCTCAAGCTGAATAAACTGAAGAAAAAATTCAAGCCTCGAGTTGCAATATTGAATGATTCTACAGGCAAAATATTGAATGATGCTGAAAGTATCAAAAGGAGATGAAAGGAAAACACAGAGTTACTGTACAAAAAAGAACTGATCAGCGTTCAACTATTTCAGGAGGCAACATATGATCAAGAACCAATGGTACTGAAGGAAGAAGTTGAAGCTGCACTGGGGGGACTGGCAAAAAACCAGGCTCCACGAATAGATGGAATACCCATTGAGACGTTTCAACAAACAGAGTAAGTGCATTGGAGGCACTTACTCATCTATGCCAATAAATTTGGAAAAAAGTCACCTGCCAACTGACTGGAAGAGATCCATATTTGGACCCATTCCAAAGAAAAGTGACCCAACAGAATGCAGAAATTATCAAACCATATTATTAATATCCCACACAAGTAAAATTTTATTGAAGATAATTAAAAAATGGTTGCAGCAGTATGTTGACAGGGAAATTCCAGAAATTCAAGCTGATTTCAGAAAAGAGAACATGGAATGAGGGATATCATTGCTGATATCAGATAGATCTTGGCTGAAAGCAAAGAGTACCAAAAAGATGTTTATTTGTGTCTTATTGACTATGCAAAGACATTTGACTGTGTGGATCATAACAAATTATGGATAACATTGAAAAGAATGGGAATTCCAAAACACTTAATTGTGCTCATGAGGAACCTGTTTATAGACCAAGAGGTTGTTGTTCAAATGTATACTTTGATACTGCATGGTTTAAAATCAGGTAGGGTGTGTGTCAGGGTTGTATCCTTTCACCATATTTATTCAATGTTGAGCAAATAATCTGAGAAGCTGGACTCTATGAAGAAGAAGGCAGCATCAGGATTGGAAGAAGATTCATTAATAACTTGTGATATACAGATAACACAACCTTGCTTGTTGAAAGTGAGGAGGACTTGAAGCACTTATTGATGAAGATCAAAGACAACAGTATGAATTATACCTCAGTACAAAGAAAACAAAAAGTCTCACCACTGGACCAATAAGCAGCACTGTGATAAATGGGGAAAAGACTGAAGTTGTCAAGCACTTCGTTTTATTTGGATCTACAATCAATACCCATGGGAAGAGCAGTTAAGAAATCATTTGCTGAATTGCACTGGGCAAATGTGCTCTCTTTAAAGCGTTAGATGAAAAAATTTCCACTTTAAAGACTGAAGTGCGTCTGAATATCAAGCCATGGTATTTTCAATTGCCTCATTTGTGTTTTTGGGAGCTCTGGTGGGACAGTGCCTAAGGCATTTGACTGCTAACCAGAAGGCTGGAGGTTTAAACCCACCCGCCACTCCTCGGAAGGAAGGTTGGGCAATCTACTTCCGTAGTGATACCACCTCAGAAACCAAAGGAGGGGTCGCTAGGAGTCTGGTCCAACCGGACAGCAGTGTGTTTGGTTGTTTTTGGTCATATGTATTTGAAAGCTGAATGAAACCTAACAAAGACTGAAGAAGGGTTGATGCCTTTGAATACAGTGTTGGTGAAGAATACTGAGTTATCTGTATCTGGAAGTAGTTTTTGTGTATAGTGCTGGGTACAGATCTTGTTTCATTTTTCTGCAAATTGATAATCTAGTTTTGTTAGCTCCATTTGTTAAAGAGACCATCTCTTTCCCATTTAATGGGTTTCAGCCATTTGTCAAGATCAGCTAACCATAGGTCAAAGGATCTCTTTCTGGGTTCTCAATTATATTCCACTGGTCTACGTGTCTGTTGTTGTACTGTAGTTAAGTCTGTGTGTCAAGTTGGCTGGGCCTGGTTGAGTGGCTGGGCAGCCATGATGCCATCCCCAAGATGAGACTGGTAATCAACTCCATGGTGGAATCTACTGTGAGCAGCTGAGTAGTTGCCCTAGGGATGTGGTCTGCTTCCTGTATATAAGGAGAAGCTTTGGGAAACAGTCTCTAGTTTATGGCATGCTTGGACCCTGCATGTAGCTGTGTCATTGTTCAGTAGCCTGCTATGCTCTGCCGACCTTGGGACTTAAATGGACTTGAATTAATGGCCTGCCCTGTGGTTTGGTAACATCAGACTGTGCCATTTTATTTGTCAACCTTGGGCTTGTTAGCCTCAGCAGCCAGTAGCTGCCTGAGTGAAGAGATGCCTCTAGCTTCAGTGGGCCTGGAGCAAGAGACAGAGCTGAAGCCCAAGGTTGAGGGGCTTTTACCCAGTCCCTAGAGCCTGGCACTTTGAACTTGGACTTA